GTCAGAAATGTTGGGATCGACGTTGATGGTTTGGGTTTTATTGAGGCCTGCAGCAATATGTGAAGAAGTGTAAATATAGTCGATTCTTAAAGGTTAATGATGCACAACGTGAAAGAAAGATGGGAATAGTTGATTAGCATTATCATACAGAAAATCAAAGAAGTTGAAAAGTTGGAAGTCTTCAAGTTGGGTGAAGAAATGATTAGCTTTTGACATATTATTAGAACGGTCTGGAACTGCATTTAGGTCTCGTAAATGATTTTTATGTTAAAGTCTATCGCTGATTTAATGACGTTACATACTTTTTTATATGTTTGTTCTCGAAGGGCTGTATTCGAACTTGATATGTAGCAGTTAATTAATCTAATGCGGAATTTATTGCAAAATTGAAGATCAATGAAAATATAACGTCTGTGTTGACCGTCATGTTTGTAAATATGATCGGCAATATGATTTTTTATGAAAAGGCCAACTCCGAAACCTGAATTTTGTGACTTTTGATCAAAGTTGAAGAAATGCGAATATTGAGACGACGTTAATTTTGAGAAGGCTAAAGTATTATTGGTTGATTTAAAGTTTAACTCTTGGAGGCCTATTATATCCAAATGATTAATTTCGTAAGTATTGAGCAAGAATTATTATTATTGTGGTTGAACGAAAAAGCGAACATTGTGTGTTACAATGTTGAGTCGAGAAGATAATGTATTATTAGTCGAAAATAAATTGTGGGTATTGTTAGTATTTGTTATTTTGTTGTTTGTTATCGGGTCACTGGGGTTAACCCGTTTATAATTCTGTAAATTATTAATAATTAAAAATATTTAGGAGTGGGAAGATAAAGATACCATCAACTGTTTTTCATAGCTAGAAGGAGGAGCAACTTCTTCAATAGCAGTAAAGGCGTTTGGATTGATTTGAAGTTGTGTTTGTAAGATTCTTTGCATGTTAGTGATGACGCGTCCTGCATTATTGAATTTGGTCATATTATTTTCAAGGTTGGTTTTGAGGAGAGTGTTTTCATCTCTCAAGGTAATTAGTTCAGCAGATTGTTTAGTAATAATATTGTCTTTTGTATAGAGACCAGCTATATAGGTATGTTTCTCAGTTTTCATACCATCTTCGTTGAAAGATTTGTTAAGTAAATCTGCTTGGTGAGAGAATAGAACGTTGATATTAAGGACTTTTCAACCATAGCAACTCAATTCGCAATCGAGTGAAGATCTGATTCCATTTTAGCAAGCTGTTCAGAGATAGCGATCAGTTGATTGGAAATCTGAGCGAGTAATTCTGGTTGGGATGGTTGGTTTAAGGTAATATTTAGCAAACAGAATTCGTCTAAAATTTCATCAGCCCAGCGATGCGATGCATGTATACTAGCATCTAAGGTTTATTTTCCTTTATCATTGATGGGGCAGATGGGGGTGATACGTTGTTGGTATTGATTTTCTTTTAGTGATTTGGTTTGAGGAAAGTTTGTTTGACGATTGAGCGGAACGATAACGTTGCTGGATTTATGTATATCTTTGGCATTATTTTGTTATTGGCTCAGTTTATGTATATTTTTAGTCTGCTGTTTATTAGGGTAGGGTGGTGGTTTAGACACAACGACAGGTGCTTTGTAATTTCAAAACTGTGCAGGCTGGTAGCGTTGGTATAAGTGTTGAGTTTATCAGTCTTGTAAGGCTGAACGATTTTTATGATAATTCTGCGATTGGTGACCTGAAACTTGACAGGTGAAGCAAAGTTTTGCATTAGGATCAGTCCAGATTAATCGTTTCCTATCGAGGAAATACGTTTCTCCATTTTTTACTGCTTCTATAGATTCTTTAGTTTTAAAATAAAAGATGGCGTATTGTAAATTTCTGTAATTAGCACGTGACTTGGGGATAATCCAGGCAATCGCTTTGATAACATTACCGATAGAGATTAAATGGCGTCCATTTGTGTCAAGTGAAAGGTTAGTTAATTTCAAAGAAAATTCTGACTTTTTCCTAACATCTTCGACTGACATAATACATGGGTGGATCCTGATTAAGTCTTTAAGGACAAAATAGCTGTTAAGTTTGTTCAGGGTAGTCATATCTGTGTCTTGTTCAAATGTGA